TCATTGATCAGCTGCCTTCTGCATGCCCCCTACTGGGGATTGAGCCCACAACCCAAGCATGCGCCCTTGACCAGAACCAAACCCAGGACCCTTCAGTCCACAGGGCAACGCTCTAACCACTGAACCAAACTGGTTAGGCCACTCTTGGGTTTTATTTTTGTCATATTTTACCATCTGTGTAAATATGCACTACATATATGCATATATATATATATGAATTTTGTTTCTTCCGTTACAATCTTCATATTAATTAGCCCTACTTATACCATATTGGAAAGCCAGGACCTTAAGTCACAGTGTTTAATAGAAATGGAGTTAATATCCAAGGCCACCACTAGCCCATATAAAGCCTGTGTGCAAATAGGGAAAAGAAGCCTCTTCCTCAAGACACTTTACCTCCACCTGGGAAATTGTCATAACACATATTGAAATTTACAATGTCTAGCCCTGGCTAGTGTGGTTTTCTGAGGAGACCTGGGCTATGACAATTGTCCAGAAGGACGTCTGGTCTAATTAGCAAACTACACTTTTGTTATTATAGAAGGTTGCTCACCTCTTTAAAATAACAGAAACCTATCGCTGAGGAAAAGTAGATTGGCAATAACTTCTAGCATTCGGTGGCTTTTCCCATTCCTTAAGCTTTTACTAGTAACTTTATTTTTGGATGAAGGGCAGACGGAGAGAAACATAATGGAAGGTAGAGTGGTGGGATGTGTGAGCACCATGTTAATGATAAGCATGGCGGGGTACGGTAACTCTCCTGACAGCACTGGAGAGTTGACCAAAGACAATGAGTGGCTCAGGGTTATCTAGTCCCGAGTTCAGGTGTGCTCTGAGAGCTAGAAGACTTCTGTGGAAACGTTAAAGGAGGCCCTGTCTCCTGCAGCCACAGGGCAGACTGGCTAAAAATTTGGCAGAGTCTGACCATGTGCAGGTCTTTGTAGAGCTTCAGAGGAGAATAGTTGTGTCAAATCTGGAAAGGGTGGGACCACAAGACCTGAGGTAGGAGCACCTGAGTACAAAAACCCAAGAAGAGGGTACAGGGGGGATAAAGAGTGACAGAAGGAAACTTGGGGTGGTAAACACAATGCAATATACAGATGATGCATTCTAAAATTTTACACCTGAAACCTACATAATTATATTAACCAATGTCACCCCAATAAATTCAATAAAAAATATAACACCTGAGCAGTAGGATTCTAGTAGCAATCAGGGAACCTTGATCTTTAAGGCATGGGGACCTATAGTGGTGGTTAATACATTAAAATGTTCCTAGAGGCAGAGAAATGGGTCATCGATCAACATGCTACTCAGTGTCTATAGAGTTAGATAGAATCTAGAGTTTGTGGGTAGAGGCCTGACATAAGCCATCACAATAGAAAATCAGGCCCTTCCCCCACTTCCCAGACCTGACACAGTTCATAAGTCCAGTCTTCATTCATTAAACAGGAGGACCCTACAGTGCCTCTGCATGTACATGCAGTAAACGTTCTTCCGTTCTTTACTAAAGAGACCTAGAGCCATCATCAGAACAACCATGCACTGGCCTAGCAGGTGTGGCTCAGTGGATAGAACGTTGGCCTGCGGACTGAAGGGTCCCGGGTTTGATTCTGGTCAAGGGCACATGCCTGGGTTGTGGACTTGATCCTCAGTAAGAGGCAGCCAATCAATGATTCTCTATCATCATTGATGTTTCTCTCTCTCTCCCTCTCTCTTTCTCTCTGAAATCAATAAAAAATATATTTCAAAACAAAACGATAACCATGCACTGGTAAAAGGGAATCCCCAGACTTTCGAAGATTGGTACATATGAGGCCCAGCACCCGGAAAACCTAGATGCCACCCTGGCTTTCTGGCTAGAATGGAACTTGTATAGGATAAGTAATCAAATGGAACTGTGGCATAAATCATTTTTATATCCTGTGATTATTGCCGTAGTCTTTACTGTATAAATAGGGTAAATATTCCTAGTGCCTGGGAGAACTTTCGCATGGGCTCTGGGTCTATGAAGTAAGGGTCCAGTGGAAGGGCTTGAAGCGATCCCAACCCTGATCAAGATAGTACATCAGCCGAGACCGGTTTGGCTCAGTGGACAGAGCGTCGGCCTGCGGACTGAAAGGTCCCAGGTTCGATTCCGGTCAAGGGCATGTACCTGGGTTGCGGGCACATCCCCAGTGGGAGGTGTGCAGGAGGCAGCTGGTCGATGTTTCTCTCTCATCGATGTTTCTAACTCTCTATCTCTCTCCCTTCCTCTCTGTGAAAAATCAATAAAATATACTTTAAAAAAAAAGATAGTACATCAAAGGCAATACACACCACGATATTGTGTTCCTGGGCGGTCGCCACCATGACAACTTGAACGTGCAGGAGTGCTGGTCCCTCTCGCACTCCCATTCAGCTCACCTTCCTGGTCTCTGCAAAAGCCAGGACAGTCAATCCAGGCTGTGGCAGACTAGCTTGTACAGACTAGCCCTCTAGTTAAGGACCATCAGGAAAGCGTGTCAAATAGTTTTAAAAATCTGCTTGAAAGAATCAGAGAACTAACATGGCAATGAAGGCTTAAGAGACTAAGTTCTTCGACGGAAAGCATGGAAGTGAGTCTGACAGTTGGCAAAGCTTTTCGCGTTGAGGCCTTTACAGATTGGAAAGCTGTGATCTGGAGGTTGAGAAGCTGAGAGGAAAGCTGTGGCTGCGGGACTGTGGATAAAGCGAGTTTGGGGGCAGTCTCATGGGTATAGAGGAACAAAAATGGGAATTCGGGGATCCCAGCTAGGAGGGGTTTCTGTAAATACTGCTAAGCTTCCCATCAGGACTCCTGAAGAGTTATACTCTAGGTTAAGAACCAAAATAGATCAGTCTTTTAAAGCAAACCCAGCTTTCCAGCGGCTGTATCTCAGATTACATTGAGATGATCTGCTCTTCCCCTAATTGCATGCCAGAAGTAAGTAAAGCATTTCTGGAGGAAGATAACATCATGCTGCATAAAACAGTAACCGTGTAATTCCTTCTTGCATTCTTTCTGAGGTGGTTTTTCACCTTCCAGGAGTGCCATTTATCAAAGTCCTTTTAGTGAGAGCTTGTTGATAATGTTTTTAACTGAATTTTAAAAATGGGAAAAAGACATGAACAGACACCTCCCCAAAGAAGATATACAGATAGCAAATAAGCATATGAAAAGCTGCTCCACATCATATGTCATTATGGAACTGCAAATTAAAACAATGAGATATTGCTCACCACACACCTATTAGAGTGGCCAAAATCCAAAATACTGACAACACCAAGTGTTAGCAAGGAGGTAGAGCAACAGGAACTCTCATGCATTGCTGGTGATAATGCCAAATGGTAGAGCCACTTTGGAAGACAGTTTAGTTTGTCAGTTTCTTAGAAAAATGGAACATACCCTTGACATTTCAGCAATCAATAAGCTGATAACTTATATGCACACAAAAACCTGCACATGGATGTTTGTAGCTCCTTTATTTATAATTGCCAAAACGTGGAAACAGCCATGATGTCCTTCAGCAGGTGAGTGGACAAATAAATTGTGATACATCCACAATAGAATATTATTCAGTGCCAGAAAGAAATGAGCTATCAAGCCATGAAAATGGAGGAATCTTAAATGCATGTTACTAAGTGAAGGAACCAATGTGAACAGGCTACATTCTGCATGATTCCAATGATATGATATTTGGAGAAGGCAAAACTATGAAGATAGTAAAAACATTAGTGGTGTCCAGGGAGGAGAGGGGATGGAGGAATAAATAGGTGGGACACAGAGGGGTTTTAGGGCAGTGAAACTATTCTGTATGATACCATAATGGCAGAGACATGTCATTATATTTTCCAAAGCCCATAGAATGTACAACACTAGGAGTGAACCCTAATGTGATAATGATGTGTCAATGTAGGTCCACGGATTACAACACACGTACCACCTTATTGCAGGGTGTTGATCATGAGGGAGGCTGTGTGTGTAGGGGCAGGAGGTATCTGGGAAATCTCTGTACTTTCTGCTCAGTTTTGTGTGAACCTAAAACTGCTCTAAAAATAAAGTCTATTTTTAAAATATATTTTATTGATTTCTTTTACAGACAGGAAGGGAGAGAGATAGAGAGTTAGAAACACTGATCAGCTGCCCTCTGCACACCCCCTACTGGGGATGTGCCCGCAACCAAGGTACATGCTCCTGACCAGGAATCGAACCTGGGACCCTTCAGTCCGCAGGCCGGCGCTCTATCCACTGAGCCAAACCAGTCAGGGCTGAAGTCTATTTTTTAAAAAAATGCTTTTAGTTCATCTTTATTTTTGAAAAAAATGTTCGCTCTTCACAGACTGCTAAGTTAGACATTTCCCCCCCTCAGCCTTGAGATAACATTCTGCTGTCACCAGTCTTCCGTGTTTTGCTGTTGAGACCTCAGCTCTCAGTCTTATTTTATTTCCTTTGTAGGCAATCTATCTCTTCTGGCTGCTCTTAAGATTATTTTCTATGGCCCACAGGGGAGTGAAGCTGCTGGGTCTAGGGTTGGGCACTTACCAGGGTGCCACAGGGTGTACCTGCCCTGCCTCAGAGGTCCTGCAGGGGCTACCTGGTGTGACTGTCCGGGCTGCACTATGTCAGAAACCCTGGGCCTCCTGAGCTGGTTTTTCACACCTGTGTCAGCACTTTTTCATTAAAAAAAAATTTTTTTTAAATTGATTTCAGAGAGGAAGGGAGAGGAAGAGAGAGATAGAAACATCAATGGAGAGAGAATCATTGATTGGCTGCCTCCTGCACATCCCCCACTGGGGATCAAGTACGCAACCCGGGCATGTGCCCTGACCAGGAATTGAACCATGACCTACTGGTCCATAGGTGGGAGCTCAACCACTGAGCCACACTGGCCTGGCAGCACTTTGTTTTCAGATGTACAACCTGCTCTTTCTAACTTCTGTGTGTTCCTAAAATAGAGAAGAAGGAGACATGTGACCTGTCTGCTCCTCATGCAGGTGGACACCTGTGTCATCCCAAATGCCTGAGGAAATGTTTCCTGTTAGTGTATATTATGGATGGAATTGTATTCTCCCCAAATTCATGTGTTGAAGTCCTAGCCCTCAGTACCTCAGGATGTTGACTGTATTTGGAAATAGGGCTTTTAGAGAGGTAAGTGACAATGTGGTCTCTAGGCTGGGCCCTAATCCAATCTGACTGGTGTCCTTATGAGAAGGGGAGATTAATCCATGTAGAGAGATTCCAGGGCTGCGCACACACAGAGGGACGACCATGTGAGTACACAGGGACGAGGCAGCCAAGGAGAGAGGTGCAGGGGAAACCAACGCTGCCAGAACCGTGAGAAAATAAAGCTCTGTTGTTAAAGCCACCCAATCTGTGGGTTTGTCATGGCAGATGACCAAGTGAATACAGTGTGAACTGAACTTCAACACCGCTAGATTGTCAGCAAAGCACAACTAGACTGGGCTGGGGGAAATTTGTCCTCGAAGGCCCTTGCAGGTTTTGCGGTTTTACAATAGAGGTGAGGGATGGGGTCTTCCCGCGTGAAAGTGGCCAAGTCAGATGGCTCCATCTCAGTGTTTGTTCAGATTTCAGAGGCACCTGAGCCATTTCCTCCTGGTGCACGTTTGCCAGGGCTTGGCTGACCTGGCCTAGGAGCAAATCTTACATTGTAGTGAGAGGAAGGAAGGGAATGAGGCCATTTCCAGGCTTTGAGCATTGATTCCTCTGCTCAGAGGTAGCTCGTCCCATGGAATTTTTGGCTTCTGTACTTGACTCTGGGAAAAATTGTTTGGAGGAAGATTGCTTCACAAGCACTTGCTCAGGTTGTCTGAGCATCATAAGACGGAAACATCCTGGATTGCAGAGCCAACATGTGAACAGCAGCTCTGAAGGGTTGCTCAGAGTCTACACCACAGTAGACTCTGTGTGACTAAGAAACAAACTTTGGTTGTGTCCCCCACCACTAGTATTCAGGGATGATCTGTTATTGCAGCATCACCTGGACTATTCAGACTGATACATGTACAGAGATATATATGATGTACCTGGAAACACTGCAATATAAAAACAAGAACTCCGATAGAGAAATGTTCAAAGTAATACAGGACACTGAGAAGGGAGCAACTAATACTGCTAGGCTAGGCAGGGAAGGAATCAAGAAAGAAGCATTTGAGCTGGACTGTGAGAGCTCAGAAAGAGGAATGAATGAAAACATCCAGGGGACAATTCCATGTTCCCTGTGTGGGGAAAGACTGATGTTCTGAGTCAGTGTGGGCAAAGGTACACAGGTGTGAAAATTCTTGGGGCGTTACGGGAAGAATTAGACCTAGCACTTCCCCTAAACCAGCGGTTCTCAACCTGTGGGTCGCGACCCCTTTGGTGGTCAAACGACCCTTTCACAGGGGTCGCCTAAGACCATCCTGCATATCAGATATTTACATTACAATTCATAACAGTAGCAAAATTACAGTTATGAAATAGCAACGAAAATAATTTTATGGTTGGGTCACAACATGAGGAACTGTATTTAAAGGGCCAGAAGGTTGAGAACCACTGCTCTAGAATGTCTCCCCAATGAATGTTTTCTGCATAAAACATTTCTTCATGGAACATATATTTCTTTGAATACATTGCTTGTCTACCAGTATTTATATAGGGAAATATTATATGTATGTCCCCAAACGATGCATTTTTAACAAAGTGATGGGAGGGAAGTCGGCAGAGAAAATTTGTAGGTTCACTCCAAATATAATTGGGAACATAGAAAAGTTCATAGAAGACCATTAGAAAGGCTCTGAGGGTCAACTAAGGGGACGTGTAGCATGTTATACAGACAAAGCAGCCATGTTGATGGATTAGTGATCAGAGAGCTTTAAATATTTTACATCCTTATTTTATTACAGTTTATGGAATATATAAATAAGTAAATACCCTCCCCCCAAATTTTACAACCTAACATGTTAGCATCCATGCAGGCCCTCCCTCCACACTCAGCCTGTTCTCACACAGTCTGCACTCACTTCAAGAATAAGACAAAGGCCAACAACAAATTGAACCAGAGTTGTCTATTTTTGTTTTATTGGAACATAGCTTGACATGAAATAAATAGTAATTTTCCAAATTCTTAACCATTTCATAAATAATATTAAGTTAACAGACATTTTACAGAATGTTGCATTAAATAAGATAAAAAGTATACATCCGTTTTGTTTGGAGCGAACTGGAGGAAAATACTTCCCTGATTCCTGTCTCTGGAATATACCTAGGACATTTTGTTTTGATGCTTTCTGCCTAGACGAGGTAGTGAAGCAGCAGTATGCCTGAAATGCTGCTACTTTGCCTCAGAAGCTTAATTAAACTGAAGAGGAAGGCCCTGCCCTTGATTGGCCCTCATTCTCGTGGCAATAAAACATCCTTTATCGCTACAACAAGCCAGTTGAGTCTCAGCTTTCCATTGTCCACTCAGTGTTTATCACGCCAAGAAATACTTGCAGGTAGTCGAGGAACTTTTTTACTCTCAATCGTTCCCCTTCACACTTTTTCTGTGAAAAAGAACAGACAAGAGGTATTGTAGGAACCTGTCAATTCCTGTAAAAATAGGCACAGCCAGACAAACATGCTTAAGTTTCCACTAAATGTTTTTTACTTACTTTTTCGCCATCTATGTAGTCTTTTATTGAAGACAAGTTCTGGAAGAGTTTTTCCACGGCATCCACTTCTGCAGTTTGATTCCTCAATGTGTCTACCCCCTGAAAGACTTCTTTAATGCATAGTTGGTACTAAATGAGGAAGATTTTAAAAATATAAGTAATCAAAGCAGGATCTAAAACATTGGTCCAAAAAGCTAGACTTTGTTTTGTGGTGTTTACACGAGTTTCCTTTTCCAAAGAGTTTTTCATTGTTCCTTTTCTAGGTGGAACCAATTCATATTGGGATATGATTTCTAAAAGTAAGTGAGGTTTATTGAATTACTGAGGAGTTTTACAAATGATATAAAGTAAGTACTTAACCAAAAATACAATGTTTAAGAAGAATAATTATTGATCTCATATCAGAGCTTCCTTTCATAGTTCTAGTTGGTAATTTTGTTCTATTCAGACTAATGAAATCATATATTTTACATTTTAGTATGACCATGACATATTCCAAACGCATACAATTCTGTTACATGTCATGATCACTTTAAAATGTGGAAATGACTGTAAATATAGGTCATTCATTGTATATTGTAATGTGCACTAAGATTCTAAAAGTATTACCCTAAGTTGCTAATACTTTCAAAAAGATATTAAAGTGAGGAAAGCAGTAGACTGTCAGAATTGAATGGAGATGAGGAGGCACCTCTTAACCTGACCATATCTCCAAAGGGCCTTGTTTAATGGATTCTACTTGTTATAAAGTCATTCCTAATATTTATAAGTACACACATTCACATCACACACACAAAAACAAAATATAGAACATAAATAGTTCCAATGATAACTATGGTTTGATAGCCTAAAATATGCAATTCACTTATTCATGCTATCATAATTTAACTTACATTTGTATGTCCTGGAGTAGGAATCATCAGGTTCTGAAAAGTAAAGGAAATACATTCATTTGTAAAGCACTCTATACATTCACCACTTAATAAAATGATTGTGAAATGGTTACCAATCATCCATTGCTAACACTCATAATTTCATTAACAGATCTTTAAAAGTTAACCGCACCAATGATTACCGACGCCTTTTAAAGACTGTAGGACTCAAAAAGAAAATTACCCCTTCGCCTATCAGCAGAGTCCGATGAGTGGAGAGCAGGGTCAAGGTCTCTGCCACCAGTCTCTTCAAGGGACTTTCTAAGGCAATGGCACCAACGTCGGCAGCTCCGAGAGCCAGGAAAGTCAAAAGCAGAAGCATTCTGGTGGCTCTGAAATGTTCAGCGATTGCCTTTGGCAAAGAAAGTGCATTGTACAAGATTGTATCCCCAACCAATTTATTCTCTCTCTTTGAGGAAATGAATAATTTCCAACAATCAGATAGAGACTGTCTAATAATGGCATGTTGTGAAACCAATGTTTCCAATGCCTTGTGTCTTAAAAAAACAAGTTTACTTTTATCTTTTAATAAAAATCCCTGTTTTTCCCCCTTCAAAAACATTTTCTAGTATAAAAGAAAGTCTCTGGGTTGATACATCACTGCCCCACATTTGCATTTCTTAAACACTGATGATCGAATTTCCTCTGAAAAGATATACATAAAAAAAGAGAAGTATGACGTAAACCACGAAATCGAATTTTAAGCTAAAATACACAAATATTGGGAACTGTCTTTCCCCCTCCCCTGCCGAGGTCTACTGAATTCTATCACAGTTGTTGCTACATTGACTTGCCTTACACGGAATTGAAAATACGGGTGGGAAGATGGTGATTAGGGCAGAGATCATCAAAACGGAGCTGGCTCAAGTTGTGCTCACTGGGGTGCTGGTGAGGACCCTTTGTGTCGCCAGTGACCAAAAACCAAACCCAAACTGGTTGAAGCCAAGCAGGGAATTTATTAGCTCGTAGCACCAAATGGTCCAGTGTGGAGGCACCTGTATATTTTGCTGGCCTCAGTGGCTCTTCTTGGCTCCCTTCTCCGACAGCTCTCCCACTGTGGTCCCAAGACGATGTCAGAACTCCTGGATCTATGTGAATCCTGTTTTTGAGAAGCAGGAGAAAGCAAGTTGTGCTTTTCTGATTGCTCAGTCAAAAGTTCTAGCATTCAGCCTCCTTGTGGCAAGGGAACACATACATGTTCACCCTTGGACGGTGGCCAGGGGTACGGGATATACTGATTGTCTCTCTCTCTCTGGAACTGGAGGTGGGCTTCATCCCACCCAAATGGCACACCTAAGAAATTGGGGGTCCTGGGTAGTAGTAAGAGGGATGTGGATGCTGGGAAGTTAACCAGTAAGTATCCATCACAACCACATAATATACAGGCATGGCCTCTCCTTCACGTCTGACAAGGGTGGGGATGTCCTTTCGCACCCTGGGTGGGCCAGGTCTGATCAGAGGACTCGGCTGCTGTGTTCCTTAGGCTCAGACCTGTAATCCCCAGAAGGGAGCTTATGAGGCCCCCTACTCAACCACACGCTTCCTTCCTCCCAGGCCTGAGCACACATAATGGAGCTGTAAGCCACTTGCTTTCAATGGAGGTTTTTCAGTAAGTGTTCCAGAGTGGGTCTGTGTTGGTGCCTGGAAGCCTGGCTTTAGAACTATCTTGAGCATCTAGGGCAGATGGTACCAAATGCAAATGGTTATGTAGAACCCTTTCCCAAAGCTGGATAGAGTTCTGTAGGAGAAACAGAGGCAGCTGGGGGGGAGGGGGTAGACATGCCTTTTACATGCATATAATCAGAGCTCTGCCCAGGTAGGTTAAAAGTGGTGTCGGACTTCGGGGGCAGCTTTCTGTAGCATGTCTGGTTTTGTTTGTGCGGAAGTTTGGGACTCTTGGCTAGACATGTCTGATTTGAACACTTGAAAGGCCTTGGGGCTATGGTAGCTGCAGCATGTATGACCTGTCCATAGGTGGCAGGTGCTACACAGCTCCAGCTGATTGATGCCACGTGACACCCGAGACCTTATGTTGCCAGATCATCAACTTTTTCAAAAAAGCCAGAAATCCTGATTATTATGTATCATCTCTTTTATTGGCAAGTCATATTTTCAAAAACCATAAAGTGTGTCATTTTGCAGCCTCTGACTTACAGTATAGTTGTGGATCCCTATTGGAGGGCTAGTTGTTATTATTTTGTTAATCCTCACCCAAGGATATTTTTCCATTGATTTTTAAAAAAATATTTTTATTGATTTCAGAGAGGAAGGGAGAGGGAGAGAGAGAGAGAAACATCAATGATGAGAGAGAATCATTGACCACCTGCCTCCTGCATGTCCACACTGAGTATTAGGCCTGCAACTTAATCTCTTCAACTTGATCTCTTCATTCTCAAGGACCAGCCTATTGTAGGCACTCAATTAATGCTTGTTGAATAAATAATGTGCCCTGACTGGGGATTGAACCCTGACCTCTTGGTTCATAGGTCAACACTCAACCACTGAGCCATGCCAGATGGGCTCCACTGATTTTTAGAGAGAGTGGCAGGGAGGGGGAGAGGCAGTCAGGGCATGAATGGAAGGCAACCCATCGATGTTTCTCCCTCACATCAATGTTTCTCTCTCTCTCTCCGCCCCCTCCCCATCAATAATCATATTCTTGGGTGAAGATTAAAAATATAATATTGCATGTTGAAAAAAAGTTAATAATTGTTTTTTACTATTATTATGAAAGAGACTTTGTATCCCATAAATGTCATAGACTTGAGACCTTTGCCTTCACCACTAGATTGTGAGCTCCTTAAGAATAAGGATTTTATTTGATTGATCTCTTCATTGTCAAGGACCAGCCTATTGTAGGCACTCAATTAATGCTTGTTGAATAAGTAACTGAATGAATAAGCAGGCACTTGGTTGTATTAGTTGAACAAATTAATATGTATACTGTGGAAATTCAAGGAGTCTGAAGGTCTCCTAATGAAAAGATAGAGTAAAACTTTAAGGTTAAGCTAGAGACCAAGCCAATATGAACTACCATGGCATTAAAAAAAATCCACATTATTTTAGGAGAACAGAAATAAATTAGCAACCAGTATGCAGAATTAAGAATTATGAGTAACTATATTATATCATTTAGAAAAAAGATGTTGAATAGTGTTGAAAAGGTGCATTAGTAACATCCATCCTTTTGCCCTAAAACCTTCCAAATTGGCAACCTATTTTTAAAAATTGATACTTGTGGTTTTTACTAACTGTGTAGTCACTTAAGGTTAAATGACTTTTCTATGAACTGATTTTAATCAACCTACTGGGCATGATGCCACAAAATTTTCTTGGTGACTAAATGTAAAATGATAGTATCTCTTTCTTCTTTTTATTTTAATCTAACCTCCATCTTTTCAATCCTCAAGCATATGTTTAAAATAAATTTTTATTGAATAAATAACATTATAGGAAAATAACAGAACTTCTTCCTCTTGGCCTAGCAACTTTCAGTGTTTTTGATGACTTCTTCCAATCTTTACTAACACATAGATAGCTTTACAGAGTTGTAAACCAATGAATATATGCAATCTGTGTTTATCTTTTTTGCTTAATTCTTCACGTATCTATTTGTTTATTTTAAAGGTTACCTGCTATTACATGAAACTGGTGAATCATAATTTACTTCACCATTTGGGTTGTTTTCCGCATTCCACAATTTTATCATTTTTAAAATACTGTATAATTTCTAAGTATTTCCTTATGCTAAGGAACTTGTGTAATAATTTTTTAGCTTTTGTTACATTTTACCAGATCACTGCTCTGAAAATATTCAATGCACAAAAAATAAATCTCTTATATTTTAACAGTGTTTTGCAACTTATAAAGTACTTTCTAAAAAGTCCATTGTATCATTTCTAAAATATATCCTTATGTTAAGGAAGTTGTGTGGTAAATTTTTTAGCTTTTATTACATTTTATAAGATCACTCCTCTGAAAATATTCAATGCACAAAAAATAAATCTCATATTTTTACAGTGTTTTGCAACTTATAATGCACTTTCAAAAAATAACTTTGTTTAATCCTGATATCAGCACTGTGGGATAGATTTCTTTCCCTGAAGTCTCATTAGCAAAACTAATGGAATGAATGAAATGAACCCAGAAGGAAGGTATGATGCCAGAAGCGGTGACAATCAAAGAGATTGACAAATAAGTTGGTAAACCTAAATAAATAATGCTGGTTAAAAACAATTTATTTAGGGGGTTTCAAGGCAATGAGGAACAGACACTAAACAATGATCATGTAGGAGATAGAAAGAGTGATCAGACTTGGTGCATCTTATGGTCTTGTATTGTTTGGGAGGATGCTAAAGATACTAACTTTAGACGTCAAAATAGGCATGTGAAGTTTTTAAGAGTAGCCGCTAAAATAGCAGAAATTGAATGTATAAGTCCCAAACCAGTGGACTAAACCATGGGAATAAAGGAAGCTTAATCAATCCAGAAACTAGGAAAGGAGAAAAAGTAAAGAAAAAGATATGAGAAATATATCCAAATTTATCAGAAACGATAGTAATTGAAAAATAGATTAAACTCACCTATTAAAAGGAAGATACTATAAAATTATATTAAAATCATTTCAGCTATTTTCAAGAGATACACTTCATGAAAAATGCCATTAAAAGGTTGAAAATCATGCCAGGCTGGTGTGGCTCAGTGGTTGCGCATCGACCTATGAACCAGGAGGGACATATGCCCAGGTTTCAGGCTCAATCCCCCTGTGGGGTGTGCAAGAGGCAGCCGATCAATGATTCTTTCTCATCATTGATGTTTCTATCTCTCTCTCCCTCTTCCTTCCTCTCTGAAATCAATAAAAAAATATATTTTTTAAAAGGTTGAAAATCAAGGGATAAAAAATAGACTGATCAAATACTAATAAAAATAAAGCTGACACAGTAATACCAACACTAGAAAAATAATTTATATGAGAAAGTATTATAAGGATAAAGAGATTCACTAGCCGGTATAAGATAATATCTCATGGTAGTTTAATTTCCATTTCTTTGAGTATGCTATAAGTGAAACCAAACATTTTTCAATAGTTTGCTGAGAACTGGGAACCTGACTGATTTGCCTTTTTAGTTATTTTTATTTTAAGGAGTAATCATTTTTATTGCAAATCTTTTCCACCTTCCTCCTAGAGTTATCTTAGTTTTAGAGTTTCCTATTGTTACAAAGTTGAAAATTTTGTAATGGAATTTACCTTCTCATATCCATTTTTTTCCCTTTAACTCATAACTTTTCTTCTGAAGTATGTTAAAGGACAGAAAGCATGACACTATCATTAACACTTCCATATGTACCTCAAAAAATGATCGTTTTCTTACATAGCAAAATATTATCACACCTAATATAATGAAATTAATAATTCTTTTTAGCATTTAATTTGCAGTCTACATTCAGAAAAAGTTTTCCCATGTATCCCCCAAATTCCCTTCACATCTCTATGTTCAAATCAGGATCAGCTCCAGGACCACATGCTGAATAGGGGCAACATGCAACTCAAGTCTTTTCATCTGCAACAGTCCTTAAAAAACAAACAATCAAACAAACAACAAAACTGGCCTTTTAAAATTTCCTTGTTGTAATGACAAAGAGAACCAGGGCTAGTGTTTTGCAGTACATCCAGGTTTACCTCTTTCATCCTTGTGTATTATTAGCTTAATCCTTAATTCCTGTGAACTAGAAGTTAAATTTAAAGGTGTGATTAAAGTTTAACCTTTGAAAAAAACTGCATAAGAGGTGATGTTGGATACTTCATATTAAGATTTCAGGAGGAGACAATGTCTGGTTGCCCCAGTCATTGCTAATTTCTTGTGTTACTTTGAGTATAAAATTCTGTTTTAAAAGTGAGGGTTAAAAAAAAAGGGGTGGGGAAGAGTAATTACATTTCTGGATTTTCTTTTATTGTTTTCAGAAATATCTAGCTCTTCATCAACCTAGAACTTAAGAGTGGTTAGTAAAATATAGATTTGCTTTTTTCTTCTTACTGGCATCCAAGTATTTGTCTTCAAGGATGGGGAGTGTCTGTCCCATGGGCCATATAAGGCCCTCGCAATCATTTGGTTTGGCCCTGCCAAGGCACTAGGGGTAAGTTAATTAAATGTTTGACCAAATATAGCAGGCTAATTCTTAATTTTATAATTTTGTATGGCCCTCGAATGATGTTATAAATATCCAAATGGTCATTGGCAGAAAAAAGGTTCCCCACCCCTGAAAATTGGTGGGGGGCGGTGGGGGGGAAGTGGTCTTGGTGGTTACACATCTGTTTACATTTGTCAAAACTCATGGAACTGTATGCTGGAAAGAGTAAATTTTACTGTAAGTTATGCTTCAGTAAATCTGATTTTTTAAAAATGAGCTTTCATTATTTTAATACTGGGCAAGAGCATAAATCAGGCTTCCTAGTTTCTTCACTGTTTATATGTTTTGAGTCCTACTATGAGAATTTCCTTTCAATCAACCACAGAAAATAGGTATGAAAATAATGAACTCACCAGTAAAGTTCACTTCGAATAGGTTTCGGAGGTGCTAAACTTTCATTACTTTAGGGTCTCCTAGTAATTTTTAGGTAGTGAGTAAAAAGAAAACATTAAAAAGTAAAAACTCTTTTTTTAAATAAAAAAGGCTTTACTGTAGTGTCATTGTTTTATCATATTTGGTAATAAGGCATTATTGTATACATAAGGCATTATTGTATAATTTCAATCTGTTTTGTTCCATTGGTAATTTAAGATATGTACTGTAATAACTGACCCTTTCATGTTTTCACACTTGGTACTTGAAGACACTATTTACTGGCCTTCCCCACTTGCATCTTTGATGTATTTTTTAGTTAATGTATTAAGTTCTGTAAGTGATTGTCTTGGGACTATGTGATTAGAGTGTTTCCCATGCTTTTCTAGCTCAGTAGTCCAAAGTATTTACTTTGATTTTAGTATCTTCCATTACTGCTTTTGTAATTTCGTCTATACATCCTTGCATGTGATATCCCTCAAATTGGTTTCCAAAAAGCAATATTCTCATTTTTAAATTTATTGATTTTGAGAGAGAGAGGAAGGCAAAGAGAGAAATATCAACTTGTTGTTCCACTTATTTATGCATTCATTGGTTGCTTTTTTTTTTTTTAAAGAGCATTTGCGGGAAGTTTTAATTCATTACCTTTTTAAAAAAATATATTTTATTGATCTTTTACAGAGAGGAAGGGAGAGGGATAGAGTTAAAAACATCGATCAGCCACCTCCTGCACACTCCCTACTGGGGATGTGCCCGCAACCAAGGTACATGCCCTTGACCGGGATCGAACCCGGGATCCTTGAGTCCGCAGGCCGATGCTCTATTCACTGAGCCAAACCGGTTAGGGCATCATTGGTTGCTTCTTGTATGTGCCCTGACCAGAGATGGGACCTGCAACCTTAGCATACAGGGACAATATTCTAACCAACTGAGCTACCAGGCCAGGGCCACAATTTTCTTATTTTTGAGAAAGGTAATTTCTCTTTCCCTTATTTTACTTTAACTTTCTTGAAACATAAAAGTTGTGCATACTTCATGTATACAATGTGATGACTCTGGAGGTAAATCTACTCCGTCAATGCCACTAGTGCACCTGTCACCTTCAAGTTCCCTCCCACCTTCTCTATTATTTTTTTGGTAGGAACACGTAAGATCTACCTTGTTAGCAAAATTGTAATTATACAATATAGTACTCTTCACTGTAAGCACTATGGTATATAGATCTCTTACTATTCATCTTGCATAACCGAAACTTCCTTTTTTGAAAGGTGTCTATTCCTATCTTGTGTTAATACTTATGACTGGATTTCCTTCACATCATATGCCAGAGCGTTTGACTTTTAGTCTTAAACGCCTCTTTACACTCTTACAAATTACTGAGGACCGCAAAGAGCTTCAACATTTTATTTTTATTACAATAGTCGGTATACAGTATTATATTGGTTTGAGGTGTACAACACAGTGATTCGACATTTATATACCCTGTGATCGCCACTCGAAATCTAGTAACATGCCACTGGTCACCAATGCGATGGCGTCACCACCCGTCATGTGATCACCAGAAAAAACTATATTAGTGAGCAAATGAGAGTAGAAAAGGTAAATAACAGCTACTTTTAGAAAAATAGTGGCTTTTTTTGTGAGAGAGAATTATTGATGAGAGAGAATTATTGATCCGCTGCCTCCTCCACGACACCCACTGGGGAGCAAGCCCGCAACCCCTGCATGTGCCCTTGACCAGAACCCAGCCGATGCCCTACCCAGTGGTTCTCAACCTGTGGGTCCCGACCCCTTTGGCGGTCGAACGACCCTTTCACAGGGGTCGCCTAAGACCATCCTGCATATCAGATATTTACATTATGATTCACACCAGGAGCAACATTACAGTTATGAAGTAGCAACGAAAATAATTTTATGGTTGGGTCACAACATGAGGAACTGTATTTAAAGGGCCAGAAGGCTGAGACCCACTGCCACTGAACCAAACCGGCAAGGGCTAGGAAAATAGTTTTGACGTTAGCAAACACCACACTCTCCTCCATTCCCGGGATCCCACTTTGAGAACCGTGGTGGTTCGCTGCAAGTCTTCGTCTCCCCTTAGGGATAGTGCCTCTCCATTCGCCCAGGACCGCCAGCAGTGATCAGGGAGCCGGAACCGCCGCCACCGGAAACACGCAGTATCCAACCCTCTAGGTCCGCGCGGCGCCCAGAAGCCGGCGCTGCGCACGCACGCAGGGCGGGCCTGCGTTCCCAGCGTGCCCCGGGCCTGCGGCGTAAAGGCGCGCAGGCCGCAAACGCTCACGTGACCCGCGGGGCAGCAGAGGCGGGAATCTGTGAGTGGGCACGGTCGCGGGGTCCCGTGGCCCGTGTTTTGCGTCTCCCGCGGGCATCCCTGGGCCGCTCCGGCCCGCCAGCCGGGAAGAAGGCAGGCGTGGGAGGAAGGGTTCCAGCCGGAGCCTTCGCTCCCAGCGGGAGCCTGCCGGCCCGCGTTCGCCGCGCTGCTGCCTCACCGCTCAATCTTGCTGGTGTTGAAATAAGAAACATTTACAAACATGTCCCGGATCGAAAAGATGAGCATTATGGGCGTGCGGAGTTTTGGAATAGAGGACAAAGATAAGCAAATTATCACTTTCTTCAGTCCCCTCACAATTTTGGTTGGACCCAATGGGGCAGGGAAGACGGTAAGTGCGGAGTAGCCCCCTTCAGGTTACGGGTCAAGGAACCGAGGCCTCAAACACCCGGGGGCAGGATGCTGATGAGGAACGAGAGGCGCCCCTGTTTCTGGGGCCCCAGGAAGTGCCTGTCCTCTCCTCCGGTGACTTCCCGGCCCGGGGCGTGGTCAGCGAGTGCAGGAGTCGCCCAGACCCAGCACCCGAGGGTGTCCGGGCCCGTGGGCAGGTTCTCCGGGGAACCCCACGGGCCGACAGCCTGTCCCGCAAGAATCCTTGTCTGTATCGGTGCATTTCAGCACCTTGCTCCCAAGCATAGCACTCTCTTCATGGTAGTTTTCTCAATACAGGAACTTCATAAAAGGTTATGAAATAGAAATATGTGAGTTTACAAGTATGCCAACTGTTTTAAGTATAATTAATAAAAAAATAAATGGCTTAATTTTAAAAACATGCAGTGAGGCTTAAATTGGAAAACTGCAGGCATACCTCGTTTTACTCTGCGTGGTTTATTGCTCTTAACAGGTGCTGCGTGTTTTTTGTATTGTTTTTTTTAATTAAATAAACTTAAGGCAAACCCAGCAAAAAAAAAAAATTGACTTGCTTTATTGCAGTGGCCTGGAACCAAACCCGCAGTATCTTCGGGCATGCCTGTATTTTGTTGTGGGATGCGCTTCCCTAGTCAAAAAGTTGGAGCACAGCTTATTTACTGTGGTTTTTTTAAAACGGGGAATATTTAGAAATTTAGGTTAGGCCCTGCAATGGCAAGCAGTTATGGAAAAAGGATAGCCAAAAGGCTGGATTGTGTTCTGGAAGGGTGGCTTGAGAAAACACAAGGAGTGTAACAGGGAGAACTGAATGTCTGACTCCTGTCTCCTTTTATGCAAAAATGTATTTATTGCATGCCTTTTGGGTAGCTAGCATTGTATTAAGTGATCTACTGTGAAGGAGACTAGTATAGCGTTGATGAGCACTGGCTGTGCAAGAGTGACCTCAGTGTTCTATGCCTTAGTTTTCTCATTTGTAAAATGGAGATAAAAGACAGTTTCGAGAGCCTAGGATTAATGTGAGAATTAAAAGGTTACTCTATGTAAAAGTGGTTCATTCAATACCTGGCACATAGTAAGGTCTATGTAACAGCCATTGGTTTTGGTGGTGGTGTTTTTTACTTTTCTAAAAATTTCAGTTTTATCAAGGTATAATTCACATAAAATTGTAAGATATTTATAAAGTATACATCTGGTGGTCTGATAATACCTAATGGTGGGAGGACTCCCCCTATGTAGTTAATTAACAAATCCATCATCTCACACATTTATCTTTTTTAGTGAAAACATTTAAGTTCAGCAAATTTCAATTATACAATATTGTTATGAATTATGGTGGCCATGTTTTTTAATTAGCCATTGTTATTATTAAATTAGCTTAAATGATTTTAATTGGAAATAGAGAATTTTTTCTAAATAATTATTATTATACTTTTTAAAAAATATATTTTTATTGATTTCAGAGAGGAAGGGAGAGAGAGAGAGAGCGAAACATCAATGATGAGAGAGAATCATTGATTGGCTGCCTCCTGCCCCCTACTGGGGATCGAGCCCACAACCCAGGCATGTGCCCTTGATCAGAATCGAACCCGGGACCTTTCAGTCCGCAGGCCGATGCTCTATCCACTGAGCCAAACCGGCTAGGGCTATTATACTTCCTTAATTGTGTAGTTTTTCTATGAACTTACAATTACTCTTTAATAGTTAATCATACCTCTGTTGCAGGTTTTATGTCTGATTGTATCCTTAGAGTCTCTAAGGCAGTGGTTCTCAACCTTCCTAATGCTGCGACCCTTTAATACAGTTCCTCATGTTGTGGTGACCCCCCCAATTTCATTGTTACAAATTGAAAGGGTTGTTCGACCCACAGGTTGAGAACCGCTGCTCTAAGGTAAATAATATTTTTATAATGAATATTGTATGATTAATTTCTGTGGTTCTCTTATGGCTAAATGTAATTTTCTCTTTCTTTAGACCATTATTGAATGTTTAAAATATATTTGTACTGGAGATTTCCCTCCTGGAACCAAAGGAAATACATTTGTTCATGATCCCAAGGTAATGGTGCTAGTAAAACTTTGTACTTTTAAACTAAATTGTTTATAATTATAAAAGTGATAACAGCTTATTGTAGAAACCTAGCAATGGCAAAGTATAAAGAGATAGGAATGTCACCCACACACAGTCTTAGCACCCAATGAAAACCATTGTTGACATTTTCATGTATTTTCTTCTCCTTTACATACTGTTTAACATAGCTGAAGACATACTCGAATTTTGTATTCTGAGGGGTTTTTTTTCCACTTAACATCATAAAGTCCCATGTCATTAAAAAATTAAGTTCTTAATCTAGGTGTTTGGTATATGGGTGTTCTTTATAATCTTTATGCTTTTTTATAATGTCTGAAATATTTCTCCTTAAAACATGTAACATTTGTGAATGTTTTTAATAATTGCATACTTTTCTTACATTGCTTTTAGTTTTTCATTAAAATGTACCATGATGAAAGTCTTTGCCTGAATCTTTGAATTACTATTTATACTATTGGTGTTTGTCAAGGACATAGAATTTTCTGTACATATTTGGCCTGTAGGTTTTTCTTATTGCATATATAGGTGCCTCTCTCAATATCTACCCCTCACAAGAGTTTGTTGTATATTTATTCCAGGCTTTTTTTGTGTTTATGAAAACATATTTGTGTGCATATATAAATATACTCACATATGTATTTTAACACATGGATAGAATTTTATTATGCCATTTTACAAATCAAATAATTATTTAGTGACCTACTATATGTCTGTTTATATACATACTAGAGGCCCAATGCACGGTTCAGGGGAGGGGCCGAGGGAGGTTGGCTGTGGGAGCGCACTGACCACCAGGTGACAGCTCCTACATTGAGTGTCTGCCCCCTGGTGGTCAGTGCACATCATAACAACCAGTCGACTGGTTGTTCGGTCATTTAGACTTTTATATATGTAGATATTCAGGGGTGGGCAAAAATAGGTCTACAGTTACGAGTACACAGAGTTTTTATTGTATTAATATTTATTAATTATTGTATTCTTTTCCACCCCTGTATATACTCTTATTTCGTTGTTTTACTAAGTTGAATTCCATTGAGTTTATATTCCGTAGTTCATTTAACTGACTCCCAGTTGGTCATTGAAATTTCTACTTTTATATTACTAAAAATAGCTAATAATTAAAGTATTTATTAATTTTCCACTTAGAAATACCATTTAGTACATATACTGAGCCCTCTCTATTCACATTTTCTTTCTTCTTAAACCTGTAATCTACCCTCCTTGATTGATGATCTTGCCTTGTACTATATTGAGAAAGTAGAAGGAATCAGATGAAAAGTCTCTCGTTTTCCAGTCATAAAATCTTCCAAACTACTCTGTATATGGACCCATGCTATCTGTTTTCTCTCCTGTATTAAGAGTAAATTGTTTATTATTTTATCTAAAGGTCAGCCAACTCCTCTTGAAGGCTGGATCCAATCTCTCTTGTCATCTCAAGCATTTTGCTTTCCTAGTGTTCCTTCTTGCTCTTTCAGTAGCAATTTCTCCCTCTGTATAGGATCATTCACATCAGCATGCTCTGGTAGCTCCAATCTATAAACATAAACAACTGTCTTTTTACTTCAAATCACCCCTTTGCTACTACCTCTTCTCTGTTCCAGTTTATAACAAAATTCACAAGAGTTGTATGTACTCATTGTCATCACTTCATTGCTTTCCATTTTCTCCTCAGCCTACTCAGTTCAGATTTTCTTCTTTTTTTCCTCACTGAAACTGCTCTTGTAAAGTTACCAGTAATATCTATGTTGCCAGATAAAGTGGTCATTTTATTTTTCTTTTCCTTTTATTTAAATACTAGAGGCCCGGTGCACAAAAATTTGTGCCCTCTCGCAGTCTGGGACCCCTCGGGAGATAACGACCTGCTGGCTTAGGCCTGCTCCCGGGTGGCAGAGGGCAGGCCCAATCCCTAGGTGCAGCCCCTGGTCGGGCTCAGAGCAGGGCCGATTGGGGAGTTGGGGCGCCTTCCCCTGTCATGCACAGAGCAGGGCAGATTGGGAGGTTGCGATGCCACCCTCAGTCAGGCTCAGGGTAGGGCCGATTGGGGGGTTGGGGCACCGCCCCGTCACACTCAAGGCAGGGTCGATGGGGAGGTTGCGGCGCCACCCCCTGTCACGCACAGAGCAGGGCCCATCAGGGGGGTTGGGGCTCCCTACCCTGTCATGCACAGAGCAGGGTCAATCAGGGGGTTGGGGAGCTCCCCCCTGTCATGCACAGAGCAGGACCGATCAGGGGGTTGAGGAGCTCCCCCCTGTCACTCACAGAGTAGGGCCGATAGGGGAGTTGGGGCACCGCCCCCTGTCGCACTCAGGGCAGGACAGATCAGGGAGTTGGGGCGCCGCCCTCTATCACGCACAGAGCAGGGCTGATCAGGGGGTTGGGGCACCGCCACTGTCACACTCAGGGTAGGGCAGATGGGGAGGTTATGACTCTACCCCATCACACACAGAGCAGGGCCCATGGGAGGTGGGGGGTGGGGCACCGCCCTTTATCTCCCACAGAGCAGGGCCGATCAGGTGGTTGGGGCACTGCCACTGTCACACTCAGGGCAGGGCCAATGGGGAGGTTATGGCTCTACCCTGTCACACACAGAGCAGGGCCTGTGGGGGGCAGGGGGGTTGGGGCCCCGCCCCCTGTCACACACAGAGCTGCAGGGCGATCAGGGAGTTTGGGCGCTGCCCCCTGTCACGCTGATCCCGGTGCTGGGAGGCATATTACCTTTTTACTATATAGAATAGAGGCCTGGTGCACGGGTGGGGCTGGCTGGTTTGCCCTGAAGGGTGTCCTGGATCAGGGTGGGGGTCCCCACTGGGGTGCCTGGCCAGTCTGGCTGAGGGGCTGAGGCTGTTTTCAGACTGGGACTGAAGCTCCCAACCGCTCCGTTTTTTTCTTTTTTCTTTTTTTATTCTGGGCCAGCTTTAGCTCTGAGGCCTCCGCTGCTGAAAACAGGTTTCTGGCCTTTGTTTACCGTCTGTATTTGATACAATGTTGCGGTCCGGCTGGCTGAAGCTCTGCTGAGTAAAGCAGGTTTCTGGGTTTTTTTTAGCTTCTTTATTCGCAACATAGTTGCTGAGAGTTGCAGCTGAGAGGCCGGCAAGTCAGGCGGGGAACGTTGGAGTTCTCCGTCACTGAAGCAAGCAAGCCTCCCTGTTCGCATCTGCTGCCTGGCTGCCGGCCGCCATCTTGGCTGCCAGTTAATTTGCATATCTCGGCCCTACTCTGTGAGTGACAGGGGGATTAGCCAATGGGAAGGGTATCGGAGTGACACTAATTACCATGTTCCTCTTTTATTAGTGTAGATATTTTTATTGATTTCAGAGAGGAAGAGAGAGGGAGAGAATGATGGAAACATCAATGATGAGAGAGAATCATTGATTAGCTGCCTCCTGCATGCCCCACATTGGGGACTGAGCCCGCAACCTGGCTGGGAGTTGAACCATGACTTCCTTGTTCATAAGCTGATGCTCAACCACTGAACCACGCCAGCCGGGCTAAAGTGGTCATTTTCTAATTCTTATTAACTTCTCAGCAGATTTGATACAGTTGGTTAATCCATTGATTTTTGGAGAGAGTGGAAAGGAAGGGGAGAGACAGAAATATCAGTGTGAGGGAGACCCATTGATTGGTTGCCTCCCGCACACACCTGAACCAGGGCCAGGCATTGAGCATGCAGTCGTGCCCTTGACTAGAATCAAACCTGGGACCCTTCAGTCCGCAGGCTGACACTCTCCACTGAGCCAAACCTAGCTAGGCCGGTTATTCCTTTTTTTTTTTTTTAAACATATTTTTATTGATTTCAGAGAGGAAGGGAGAGGGATAGAGAGATAGAAACATCATAGGGGTAAAATGGACACATATGTAATACCCTTTGTAATACTTTAAGCAATAAATTAAAAAAAAAAAAAAAGAAACATCAGTGATGAGAGAGAATCAATAATGGGCTGCCTCCTGCATGCCCCCTACTGGGGATCAAGCGCACAACCCAGGCGTGTGCCCTTGACCAGAATCAAGCCCGGGACCCTTCAGTCCACAGGCCAACGCTCTATCCACTGAGCCAAACCGGTTAGGGCTGAAGTTCATTCTTTAAATGAATATAATTAATTTACCTCTAAGCAAAGTGATCAAGAAAAAGACACAAGTTACCAATAATAGGAATGAAAGAGGTGACTTCACTGCAGATCTTATAGTCAGTATATAGGTAATAAGGGAATAGTGTTAGCAAACTTATGCCAATAACTTCAACTACTTAGATGAAACGGAAAAATTCTTTAAAGGACACAAGCTGTCAAAGTTCACTCAATAAGAAATTGATTCAAAGTTAAAAACCTCACAATGAGAACTTACTTCAGGCTTCAATGGTATCACTGCTAAATTCTACCAAACATTTTAGGAAGAAATAATATTTCTATACAGATCTTTTTAGAAGAGTGAGGGAGAGGAAAATGTCCCAACTCTTTATGAGGGTAGCATTACCCCATACCCAAATCAGACAAAGACACAAGAAAACTAGATGATACCATTCATGAACATAAATATCTCCACAAAATTTTTAGCAAAATATTAGCAAATCAAGTTCAGCAATATGCAAATAAAGATAATATTCCAGGTGTGCTCTCCCTCTAAGGAGCATGCCCATGCCATTCCCCTTGCCCCTCTTCTCCCCCCTGCTCCCCTGCATGTATCCCCTAATCTCTAAGGGACTGCATGAGATTTGCAACCAGCGGAGCAATGGGCAGTAGAGCTCTTCTTGGGCTATCTCCTGAACTTGTCTCCAAAGCCCCCTGTTCTCTGACTTCCCAGTGAGCTAAGGCAGCCCAGCCTAGGCTCTCCTGTTGTTTCTATGGCCTTCCTTGTTTCACTCTTCTAAGTATATTTTTGCTGCGGTCAATAAACTTTATGCTTGCTTTTCTAAAAAAAAAAAACAACCACAGAAAACAAGATAATATTCCGTGACTAAGCAGGGTTTATCT